GGGGGGGGGGGTTTGTTTGCAAATACTCTGTAGTTTTTGTATGCAAGTTGTCCTACAACAGTGTGAAGGTTATCAACAGGCAGCCGAAGGTCATTGAAAACATATTTTCAGTTTTGTTTTTTTTATTGAAAAGAAGCTGATCTTTATTTATAGTCAGAGTTCAAACAAAGTCAAATGGTCTTTTCTTAATACAACCTGAAACTGAAGACTGCATGTTAAATAGAATGATACTGAGTAGAAGTGGCTGGTGTCATTCATGACATAACGTAAGCCAGTGGTGATTTTTAGCCTGGTGCTCAAACACCAGCACTCCTGAAATATTAAGAAGCCATCATTAGGATTTTGTAAGGAAGCGTAGTTCTCAAAACTTAGCTTTTAATTAATTAAATATTTAATTAGTTTGAAATAAATATGGAATAAATAAATAAATACTACTGATGATGATGATGATGATGATGATAAATGGTACTTGGATGAGAACACCTGGGAATACCAGGTGCTGTAAGCTTTTGCACTTCTCAAAAACCACATCATGGGGTGTGTTGTTCAAGTCAAGAGCCATCGTCAGTACTGGAATTTAAGCACCCCCGAAAAGTCAAATCATAGAATCACCCCTGACACAATCTTTTAACATTCATGTTGAGTTTGAAAACTTTCTACTCTTGATGAATGTTTACATTTCTATGTTTTTACATTCAGCCCTATCTTTTACTATGTGGGGTTTAGTAGTTGGAATTTTTATGTCTTCATGAAACTATTCCTGCCAGACTTATGAGGAATTGTGCAACAAACGGAGGTAAACTGGGAGCAGACAGTGGAAATGATGCTCTTAACTCAAATCCTTAACAGATCACCTCAAACATGATTTAAACATGAGGCATAAGTAAAGCTTTATAGAGTGCATCAATCTCTTTCATAGTACAGAACCAGAACAACCAAAGGATGATCAGTTTCATCCATTCTTCATCTTTTTTATATCTTCAGCCCATTACGCAGCGCACGTTTGACCACAGTTAGCTGAGCTAAAGACCGAGCCCGTCAGACCTCACTCGGACTGTTCTGTGATTTAAGATTAAATGTTCAGCTGTAGGGACAGAGTTGTTGTTTGAAAAAGCTTTATTTGCAAAAACTGAACAACGAGGAAAAAAACGTATATTTTCCTGTCTTACTGACAACTCTGACTAAAATCAGTTTACTGCTGAAAATACTAGTCTATTGCTTCTTGATGTAAACTTTCAGTGTCGTTAAAGGACTTAAATAAGACTTAAAATGGGCTGAAATCACAAATTATGAAGAAAAAAACCTCCATTTTTAACTTATATTAATTGTATTACAAACTTACATTTGGACAGTGCATATTTGAACTGTTAAAACAATATTAAAACATGTTTTTGAGTCACTCAAGACATAAGCAAACATCCCAAAAATAGTCAAACTGGAATTTGTTGGTATTTGGTTATCCAGTATCCTCACTTGACTAAATAGACTCTAGTAAAACGACTCACTTGAGTTTACACTTCCGTCTCTTTTTCTCAATATCAGCAATTTCCTCCCTAAATTATCAAGCAGTCACTGCAATTTTATGTTTTCTTGGTACATTTTTCCTTTTTCTTTGAGTTTCCAAATATCTTTGAATGTCAGTCAAAAGGTACAACGCCACAAAGATAAAACCTTTTCTTCAAAACTACAGAGCCGTACCAGCACCAAGAATCCCAAAAAAGATTATGCATACTTTTTTTTTTTTTTTTTACATTACTCCACATAACTGTCAGGCGGGTTTTTGTTGCTCCAGGCTGCAGTGGATTTGAAAAATCATATGTGTAAGGACAAAAAAAGCTTTGCCTTGTATGGTAAAAGCCCCTGTTGCACAGTCCTTTAACTACTTATCGTAGGTGGGGGCAGTCACTAAGGCTTTTTTGAATACTTATATATTGCCAATTAAAAAAGGAAGAAAAAAAGACAGCTAATGCTGACATTATGATGGCTCCACCACCTAAAATTTCAGGTTTCAGACACATCTGTGCTCAATTACTGTAAGTAATTCAACCAGTAAAAGCATCTTAATAGGTGGGTGGTTGAATGATGACAGGAGGAAGAGAGAGGAGGAGGAGGTTGACGACTGAGCTTGAGGAGATGCTTTTGACTATTGAATTTTTTTCAGGCTATTGCGTAGCTGAAGAATATTTAGCTGGTTTGCTTGGTAAAGAAGTTATTCCACTAAAATTGGCAGCTGCCTTCTTAAAAGAGCTGTAAGTTAAATTGGGACGACTTGAGTTTTTTGCACATGTTGCTGTGGTGAAGCCAGTGCAGCACTTTTTTTGTGAGCTGACTCAAAGCCATTTATTCAGAATGCATTAAATATGTGCCACAGGGCGAAAAGCAAAAACTGCATTAGAAATCACTGAACATCACCAGAAATCACATTAGACTCTGGTCATAAAAATGTTAATATTTATGTGAGCCTGCAGTCACTGAGTTCACTCGATCGTCAAAGCTCGTGTCAAATGTTCTCCCCCAAACAGTGCTTGTGCTAATGAACGTCACCTTATTTACTGTTCGGAGGAAAACCTTTCAACTTGATGCATTTTAATGTGACCCGTTTTTGTGGCTTCAGTTTACACCAGCTTCTCCAGTTTTTTCTCTTTAGTTTTGTATGAACAATAACCTATACATGATCCTGCTCCATATGCTTTGCAGTATGCACAAAGATTCTCTTTGAATTTTAAAATATCTTTGCTTTCTGTCAAGTTAACCCCTTTTTTCCTTCATTTGTTCTTACAGATTCCTCTCCCCACCATAAGTTGAAGCCACCAGCTGCTGAACTCTGCTACAAGACTGAAATCAGCAGCCTCATGGATTTCAGCTCTCCCGATGCCTCTCTTGACAAAGGTACAGCTAGTTGTATTTAACAAGCGCTGATTGGTGTGAAAATGTTTCTGGTTGCAGTGTTTCGCCCATCATGGTTCAGATAAATGGTGCACTATGGCAGATTTGATATGCATACACTTGCAAATCCTAGATTATTGTAAATATACTGTTTACGATTGCCTCTGCAGTTTATGTTGAGACGGTAGCAAAGTTGTTAAATTATACCAAGTGGAAAAAAAGAGCAAGCTCTCATCAAAGCCACACACTTCTTTTTTCTTTTTTTTTTTTGAATGCATTACACATTTCACTAACTGATGTTGCCACATTCATATATGTATATTAAGCACAGAAAACATGGTTCTATTGGTAATTAAATGTGTTGAAAGGTTAGTGGTATTCACAACTTTAGCACTATTTGTGTACCTGTCTCTAAAATGGTTCACATTTGATAACATTATCACCTAGTTAAGATGCATTTAATATGAAATACAGTCACGCATGCTATTTTTACTACGTTCAGTTGCTTGACAAGAACCATTCCAAAAAGCAGCTCATAAACTTTAAAGACTGAATTTAACTTTGTGTTTTTGATCTGGCTGGGTGGCCTGACTGGTCATAGGGGAGCATCATCAACTCTTCAGGCAAAGTATAGTTATGTGTATAATCTTTCATGTTGCAATGCATGTTTACGACAAAAGTTGCTTTAAGAGAGAATTGATGATGCTAACCAATCTAACCATTGCACCAGTACAAAACTGTCTCTTGAACAGTGTTTCCTGTAGGGCTGCAGCAAAGATCTACAGCGTCACGCAGGCAGTCCGTGGAGACCCTGTCCTCATTAATGCCCTGCTTAAGGGTCTGTTTGTTTTCTCTTTTGATGCTGCGATGATGCTAAGAGGGCACACATAATCCTCATTTCCCGAAAAAGGGAACAAAGCTGTTACTAATAGTGGCAGTGGTGGGATGGAAATGAGTACATCACATTAAGTTCTGCTAATTTAGTGTATGTTATCATTTTCAGAAGAGGAAAATATTTTTGACTACTAATCTATTAACAAAGTTGTGCACATTTTAAG